GTTGATATTACATAATTGTACCATTATATTTAACAAATTTCGGCAGTAACATAAGAACCGAAAATATTTGAGATATGATACTGTGGTGGGGAAATACAACTGGAGTAATGACCTGCGTCATGCCGGTGCAGCGGTGAAGCTGAAGTAGACTATGAAAGTTGTGTGTTATTTCAGCGGTGCCACAGTGCAGCCGCTGGGCCAGGCAAGCTAGAGCCTGAGGTTGGTCCATGGTACCGGGGCCGGGCGGGGGACCTACTGTAGCTCCTAGGGTACTAGAATGATATACTAGTAATTCGAAGGGCCAATGTTTCACAACTGATCTACGTTGGCCTGATCGCATAGTACAGTGCTATTATTATTACTCAAATAGTCTACTTCATTGTAATCTATCTCTTGATGTGTTCTAGATCGTAAAGCACAACTGAACTGAACAGAATCACCGACTGAGTCCGAGTCTGAATAGATCTAGGCCTAGACCTATTTAATAATGGATTAATATACTAGATCTAGATCAATACATGTACATGTAGGCATTAGGTCTATGCCCACTGCTGGAAAATTACAGAGCGCGGACATTTTGTAAATGATTAGATTGTTTCTTCAGGGATTTGAAATCACACAAAAAGCAGCTCTCCCATTTCTCACAAGATTCGCATTATTTGGCGTATGCCACTTTTATGATGTTGGGGTAGTGTTACCCTTCTCGTTCGGTCGTTGGGAGCGCAAGCGCAGTGGTTCCTGCAGTGAACAAGCCTCAGCATCAGAAATAGATTAATATAAAAGTGGTATGTTAGTGAGTTATGACAGGATTCTCCCATCTAGATCTAGATCTAGTTTCTTTAAAATCCAATTATCTGATTTTTTTATATGTTTCAGATGATATTTCTGTATTTTTTAGAAATATGCAAATTTTGAGCAAGGTCAGGTGATGGTGACCATTTTCATTGAGTCAGTCTACTATGGCACCGAGGGACTTAGCGTGGCTTTTATAGAAGTTGCTCAAAATCTTTATATTTTTTCAAAATCCTGTGAATGTATCATCTGAAACATTGTGACATTTTGACACAATTTCGTAAATCCTTAGCCTACCCTAACTGTGTCAGTCTCTTGTGTGAGGGAGATCTATGTGAGTTGGTCTAGACTCTAGCGATACGTCAGCTGTCTTTGTCTACAAACTGGCTCAGACGGACCCCAGTTTAAAACTGAGACATGTCTTTCAGATGGTTACGTTGAAAGGTCGGTCCCCAGATGTTAATAATCATATCTGATTGATACACACACCCTACATGTAGATAGGGCCTATGGATTGCAGAAGACTGCAGTCTACTTAGTCTTTACTGTTTAGGCACTTTGTTTATGACAGACAAGGGTTTGTGAATGCAGACTAGTGTTAATGGCGCTGTATTGTGAAGGACGTCATTGAGCTCTCTCAGTGTACTGGTATCTTTGTGAGTGAGCCTGAATGCAGTGTGTAGTAGAGAAATGTAGGTCAGGTTTCATTATACTTGGGTATACTTGGGTGTAGAGACTGGAAGCTTGGCTTATTTGTCCCTCTTTACTGTTGCATCCCATCTCAAGTATGGTTCAAACTTAATTGGATTGTTTCCCCAATACCTTTCTAGGGATGACTTGAATTGGTTAATGGTGGCAGCATTGACTACTTCCTTAGGCAGGGCATTCTAATTATTTACACTCCTTATTGAGAAACTATACTGCCTAAGTCTTGTATTGAAACGTTGTTTGTTATGCCCCTCATTGGTCTGTTGGAACAGTTCAGAGTTGAACACACATGTAGGAAGGAGTCATTAGAGATGCATTAAAGGTAAAGACCAGTATTGGAAACGCCCCGATTTCAAAAAATGAAATGGAAGCTCTCATTACCAATCATGTGAAAGAATATGTTTTGACTAATACATGATGATAAAAAATTTGCCGGGAAACTGCCTACTAATTCATATATTTGGTAAATTTGTTTCTCTCATGGTCTGTGAGAGATATAGGGTAGTCCCATGTACATCTTTCTGTGTATAGTGCTTGTAACTTTACGAAGAATGGGCCAAATTTCTTATCATTTTGATGATTCCAGAACCTTGCAGATGCTAGATGCTAGATGATCAACCTTTTCTGATCGATTCCACAATGTTTCTTTCACAATGCAATCGCATGACCATAACTGGTCTTTACCTTTAATAGAGATCTGTTGAAATTTTATTTTGAGTTTTAGCTCATTCAATAAAAAAGAAGGTTTTTAGTATATTTGTAGTGCTACATACATGTATGCATGAATGTGCACCTGCAGTCGTTGACAAGCTGTTTAAATTGGAATATTTTTTTTTTTTTGGGGGGGGGGGGGGTGGTGGTGGTGACCTGGTGGGCCTTTATACAACCAGACTTGACCCTTTTGAAGTTGGTGAAGCTAAGCCACAAAATAGATGTAAATTTACAAAATGATTGACCCACCCTCTCCAATAAAAAATAAGACAAGAAATTAAATGAAAATTATTTTAAAAAGATGTGTGAATGATTTAATGAAATTATGTTCTCACAAATGATGTGATCTGTTGAGAGCCAGAAGGGCGTTAACTCAATTGATTAATAACCTTGGTCTGCTTCTCAGGAGATGATTGTGACATTCATGTGACACACAGTCAAGGCAGATTGAGCAAACTCTTCTTATTTGGATTGTAAGAGATAAGAACTGATAGATATGACCCAGAAAACTGTTTCAGTTGTTTAATGTACAATGTAATGTTTGATGATGCAATTCACAAGTGTTCATTAAACAAACATTGCATCATATAAGCACTAGAAACTTGCTTGTTATTACTAATGTTTTGGGTCATACAGCAAGGATCCACATTCATAATTTCCTGAAGCCCTACAGTAGGCCTATGTACAAAAATCTTGAAAATTCTTCAAGCTATTTTTATAACCACCTGTCTCATTACCAATATCATGTAAAGGTAATGATAGTAATATAGTATGTCTATCAAATCAAAATGTAACAAGATTGTATTGTGAATATACAGTCTATATGAGTCTACATAAACATGTACATGTACCGTATGTTCTAAAAATGATTCAAAAGATGACCAGGATAATGGTCTTTAGAGCTATGTTCAAGTAATTGATCCATATCTATTAAAGGTCATTCGAACACGACTTACCGGTAATTTACAAGTTTTGTAGATAAATGCCAATGTCTGTTTTGACTTTTGAAGAGCTTTATCTTATCTGAAGTCAGGACTAGACTTTAGATATAAGTTTGTCTCAAGTTATGTACACCTAATACGTCCATGTACAACTGTATGAAGTACCGTACCCTCTTGTGAATGGCACCCACTGACCTAAAAAGAAGCAGCAGTATGATTGCATCCGGTTTTACATTGTGCACTGTTTACTTAAGTGTTTACTTTCGTTGTTCAACAGTTGGTTTATGGTTGATAGCACTGATCCATACTTTTTGGAACACATTATATAGCTTTCCCCCAAAATACATATTTTAGGATAATGGTTTATTTATTCAAGAAATAATTTAGTATTTACTGTACATGATAAAAAATACACTACTGGTATATAAAATCATTACAATACAAGTAAAGATGCAATTGGAAATTATTCATGAGTATAAGGCCTAAAAAAAAAAAGAGGTTGTATTGCCCTTTAGTTGTCAAAACATGGGTTGGTCGGTCTGAAATCTTTTCTTTTAAAATTTTTTTTTTTTAACACCCTCTTTGGGCTGATATTTCTCAAGTTTTGAATGCTTTAAACACCAAGATTTAATCTCTGTTTATGTGTACATCATTGCCAATTGCCAACATTTTTATTTTTGCCACATTAGGGGCATTTACACTGTCTTCCAAACACGCCCAAAAATGCCAAACTGGAGCCTGACCACGATGTTACCAAGGGCAACTACGCTTTACCGGCAGAAATGCCAAGCCCGAAACATTCCAAAACGAAGTGTGATCTTTTGGCGTGTTTGGCAAGTATGAACGCTCGCAGTTGTAACATCGCGATGTTAGGTCACGCGACTTTAGGAGCGGAGTTTGCTGTCGTCCTTGAAGAAAATGATAGAAAGATGTAAACAAAGAATAATATAAGAGAAGGTGATAGAAGGATTCTGAAGGAAGAAACAAACAATAACATAAGGAAACACAGAAAGAGGAAGTAATAGAATGATAACAAACAAAGAATAACATAAGAGAAGGTGATATAAGGAAGAAACAAACAATAACAATGAAATACAGAAAGAGGAAGTGATAGAATGATAAAAAAAAAAAATAACATAAGAGAAGGTGATAGAAGGAAGAAACAAACACTAACATAAGGAAACACAGAAACAGGAAGTGATAGATTGATAAAAAACAAAGTGATAGAAGGAAGAAACAAAGAAAAACATAAGGAAAGACAGAAAGAGAAAGTGATAGAATGATAAAAAAAACAAATAATAACATAAGAGAAGGTGATAGAAGGAAAAACAAAGAATAACATTAGGAAAGACAGAAAGAGGAAAGTTTTTGCCTCGGAGTGCTGCGCATGTGCATTACCAACTAAAACATGCCAAAACATCACTGAGCTTTTCAGTCGGTGATGTTTCCGCACAAGTGTAAATGGGTGCGCAAAACATCGCGACTTTTCAAAATGAGGTATTTGACAGTATAGATGCGCCTATTATGTGATGCTTGTGTGCCTATTAAAAACAGGGACAAAATCCTACGGTGATAATGTAATAAAGTACTGTTCTTCTGTGGTGTATAATTAGTAAGATTTTAAACTTCCCCCTAATTATTTCCCTTTTGATTACTCAAGTTTTGTCATCATAACACCTACTTGCAAATAATTGCTGACTTTGACGACTTTCTCTGAAGGGCAGACAAAAGTGAAACATGATTTTATTTTTGCTCCCCGCAATATTCTACCGGTACCATGCATATCCATTTCCTGTATGGAATACACCCTTATAAAGAAAAAGACATTTCCTATTTTTGACACTTTATACAGGTAGACGGATACTCTTATATTTGTTACTGGTACATGCATAAAGAGTGAGGGCTAAAAATATTATTAATTCCATCGTCATCTGCTTTTAGATTGGCTGTCAAAACTGTTGAGTTTTAATATACCAGCAACTGAAGTGAAAGTGATAATTATATAATTTGCTAGATTTCTAAAGGTTAATTTCATTAAGAAGGTTTCTCATATGATGGATGGCTGGATGTATTAGAGGTTCCCTTCTACCTACTGTACACATTGAACTTTGAATATATTAGGAAAACATATTAAAATAGGTAAAAGTCATTCAAAGTACCAAAAACGATATTTCCGCTAGATCTGTTGCTGAAATTGGAGGAGCGTATTGCTGTGCTTGTATTATCTGCTGTCTCGCCTTTCATCATACTGAATTAGATTTGATATCCTGGGATTTAACTTCAAATAGATATCTCGTGCTGTCTAGATTCTATTACGGACTCTCTAATGTATAAACTATATACATGGATTAACACTCCTGTACTGAATCCATATTGACTAGTACTTCGCAAAGGTGTAATGCTGGGCAAGAGAGATGGGAGTTTTACAGCGATAGACTTAATCGTTTATATACCGATAATATGCATCGAGTGGTAGACCTGAGATTTGACAAATTATTGCATCCATTCTGCACAAGTTTCATCAAAAGTTGGATTGATTGAAGTTATTGAACTAAAGTTGAGATTGATTGAACTAAAGTTGGATTGCTGACGTTGACATTCTTCAACCCACCCAGACGTTGTACTGCCGACTATTCTTCTTGGATCATTCATTGTTCAGACTTTTAAGCCGATCTCACAGAATTTTCAGCTGATTGTACAAAAAAAGTTGTGCTGAATTTTTGAACCGTGTTCTTGGCAAAAAGAGGACTTCAAGTTCAAGCAACTAATATTTCACAATGGATAGCAGTAAGTAATGTGTATAGTAATACATTGTATCTATCAAAGAAACAAGATACTAGTAGCACAAGCGTGAGATAATTTAAGGCCCACATTAAAAAAAAAAAAAAATTGAAATGCAGTACTTAATTTTGCATGTGTTAGCCTAAATGTAGATGATTTTTACCTTTTATTTAATAGAGCCACTGGCGATTGACATTGTAACTTTTTTTTCTTCATGAAAACTTGTAAAAGTTTGTTTATTGATTAACTCTGCTGATATGATTATTAATTTAACAATCATATTTGTAGAATAGATAGATAATCTGTAGTTTCCACAAAAAAGGGGCAACAAATTGTTGAAGCTCGAGTAGAGTACGGTAGCAGTAAAGTGATGACATATTTTACTTGTGTAACATTGAGGTCAGGGCCCATTTTATTAAACTTACCTTTGATGGCAAAGTTACCATCAATTGTAAGTTTTGTCCAACAGGGGCCCGGTAGGCAGTAGGAGTAAAAAATAGAAATTAAGACAACAAGTAAAAGTAATTTTCCAGACTTTGTTGATCAGGAAAGTAGTGGTATTCCTCAAGGAAACCCCTGACCACAGTATGACTGTCACGTTTTTGTCTCGAGAAAAAGTGTTTACTTTTACTAATTTGCTTATGAGTACTAGCACATACAGTAGTGCACTCATTTTTGTCCATTAAATGGTTAAAACCTTTAAAATTTTCTGTTTGAAATTTGGTTTATATTTCTTTCAGTTTTTTAAAATAAAAGTTGAACACATGACAGGAAGAGTGCGCTATTCTGAAATAAAAGTAAAGAAATTTGGGCTTGTGAAATTTGGTGATGCAATTGACCAAAGACTATGAAAGTACATTTTTGTTGCATGGTACATGTACTGTACATGTATCTATTATATTTATAAAAGTTGAGAGGAAATCCTGATTGCTCAATATCCTTCTGGTTTTTCCTGATTTTTTTTCTTCTGAAAAGGAAAAGAAAAAGTGAAAATAGTATTTTTAATGTGGTTTGTTTCGTAAAATTTGTATCACAACGTACATAGATATTACAAGCGCAGATTCACACTTCCTCAATTAGTGGTTTAAATGTTTTAATTTGAGGTCATTCAGTTACTTTTACAAGACAGTAATATAAGTGGATTGTGTGGTCACTTTCACTTGTAAACTCATTTTGATTTACAATTCATGTCCACTACAAACTGGTTCATATTAAAAGGGATGGGGGAATTAGAATGGTTTAAAAATGTCTTGATTACATGTAGGTCTTGGGATTTGAATAGTTTTATAAGTACATGATAGCTTGATACTGGTACATAATAGTTTGATAATCTGGTTAGGGATTTGTTTGATCTATTCTATGTTATTATCCAAACTTATTTTTTTTCTCAATTCAATTCATTTTGTTTTTATTGTTAAAAAAAGAAAGCGGCTAAAGTCTGGAGACAAATAATAATATTGATATATTTACTGTTCATATACATGTACAGTAAAACACAAGAAAACATGAAATAAGGTTATAAAATGTATTGACATAAAAATATACATGTATACTGTACATGAAGATCAATAAGGACAATGCGACTTCATGCATTAAGAAGATAATTTTTAACACTAATTGTTAAATTGGATATATTTTTACAAGACTATTTTTTTTGCCATGGATAAATAAGATAAATAGTAAGCATTAAACAGTAAATAAACTTTGAGTTTGCCTTTTCATTGTAGGTCCCATTACGAGTTGGTACATGTACATGTAATCACTAAATCAGCTCAATGATGCGCTTAAATAGGCTCTCTGTATGGCATTCTGCCAGCCACCATACAACAGACAGACTTGTTTACAAAAAGATGAACAATAAACCTAGATGCGGTCTTGGGGAGATGTGCATTATTCAATGAAAACAAATCAATAGAGTCTACAATGTAGGTCATGAGCATATATAATGGGAGATTATAAACTGAATAATAGTTGATCTACTTTACATGTACCGTACATGTATGTCTATGTGATGTGACCATTTACAAAGATGTACAGTGTGCACATGGAACTAGTGTGCTGAAGGATTTTTTTTTTTTTTTTTTTTTGGGGGGGGGGGGGGGGGAGGGTGGTGGTAGCTTAGACTTGATGCTTGACCATATTTGGGGGGTCTTCTATGTGTCTGTGTACTTATGTATGTACATGTAAATACAGGTACAATTATACATACATTTATACCTGCAAAATGTACATGTTCTCTTCTGTGTATATGGGTTATATTTTTGCTTTGCTTGCATCATTTTAGCTACAAGTTCAAACATCGTTTTCCTATGAATTCCGATCCGTTCACTTACATATTATGAAAAATGTAGGCCTATCTTGTGAATACATGTAATATCAGTTATTGAGACCAGTATTGTGCAGTCATCGAGGCATTACTTTGAAGAACTCCCCCCCCCCCCAAAAAAAGGTTGGTACATTATCTTCCTCCTCTCACATATTTATCAACAGCCTGCAGTCTGCGGACGTACTGTGATGATACCTACAATTTTACCTACTGTATCTGTAACTGTACAAGGCCTGTTTCTCCCCAAATACGCTCCAATTGTATTGAAGCGCTTCATAGTCATATAATGCAATTGATGTGAAAATCATTATTTATATACGGGTATGTACAAACAAACTTGTGTGGATGTATTCGTGGAAATCTCTATTTAGTGTGTGCATTGTCGGAGGAAGTTCCGGAGCATACATAATTCTGTGCCTGCACATTCAAGTCTGTGACTTTGTGTTGTCATTCACGCTGTTTGGATTTTATTGCCCTCACTTTGGCATTGCCGTGCAGGGCTGGCCGGGTTGTATTACATGTAAATATTAATAGCATGTTTTATTGTCATATAATGAAATGTAGAGGTGTCGTGGTCGAGTGGATACGTCGCCGGACTGTCACAAGGTACGCGGTTCGAGTTAAGCCTCGGCACTAATGTCCTTTGGCAAGACATTGATCTACATTTGCCACACTCAACCCAGGTGATGTAAATGGGTACCGGCAGGAATCAATTCCTTGAAATGCTGGAGCGCTGTAATGGCAGCTAGGCTAAAGCCGGGATAATAATAAACGCGCCTCGGACTAGAATTCCCAGATAGATTGCGCAATAGAAATGCCTATTATTATTATTATTATTATTAATGTGAAAAACATTATTTATATGTACAAACAAATGTGTGTGGATGTACATGTATTTGTGAAAATGGTTACCGGTATGTATTATGCATTGTAGGTGTAAGTTCCGAAGCATACATGTCGTGAACATAATTCTGTGAGGTGTGCCTGCACATTCAAGTCTGTGACTTTGTGTTGTCATTCACGCTGTTAGAATATTGCCCTCACTTTGTCAATGCATTGCAGGGGGTTGTAGTATTAATGGCATGTATCACATGACCCGCATTCCACCCGGGAGGGATTATGTTAGTGTGCAGACACAAACCCTTGTCTGCTGTAATGTAAAACAGTGTCTGGATGGTGAGACTATGAAGCTCTGTAGTTTACTGCACTCCTTTAAATAGGCCCTGTGCTATTGTAGCGTCAGACATTATCAGAGACTGATAGAGTTAGGCTTGACTCGAGGCTTTAACGATTCATGTTCAATGTCAAATAGAGTCTGTGCTTGAAGAATAGGATTGAATGTGTGTACACTGTAGTAGACTCAGGCAGGGCTGAAAGGGGGTGTGTCCTCTATGTAGTCATAACAACATGTAGTAGTCTCAAGCCTGAACTGAACAGACCTCTTACTACTTGTAAGCGTACAGTTGTGGATGTAAGCTTCTTAGTGGGCAATATTCACTCAAATGTGTGCCTTGGAAATAAATGTTAGGTGGCTGATCGAATACTGCAGACTTGTACTTGTAGATGGACCAGTCCAAAGTTCATTGTACATTTATATTGTCCCACAGTTACATCAAATACAATTGTACTTAAAATGGTACATGAACATATACATACATGTATGCATGTAGGCGATATGTTCAGCAAAACAAGACCCCCAAAATTGTCAAAACTTGCTTCAAACTACTCCATGAACATTATACACATCAATTGGCTTTAACATACCGGTACAAGGCACGGATAACTCCAGTTGAGCATATTTTTTCTTTTATCTTTGAGTATTTGCAATCAAGATTATGAAGTATGCATACTTGTGGTAATGTTTATTTTGAGATTAATAGGATCCATGATTGATGTGCCCTAAGAACCTCTTTTATTGAGCATTAAGGTACTGTGTAGTGGTATACTACCCAAGGTGAACCTGTACTTGAACTGTGTTTAAGTGTCTCATTAAAGCACGGGTCAGAGAACATTAGGAGAAAGAAAACAATTAATCATGTGTACCTGTAGGTCACATAAAACAGTGAGCCCTTTTTTAGGGGGGGGGGGGGCACTTCAACTGATCTGCTTTTTCTAATCCTTCAAGACAGAGCATTCTGCAATGTAGGCTCTGTATGAGCAAAGCTAATGCTACGGTCACAAAGGTACGTATGAACGATAATCTTGTACGAATCCCCCTGTTTTTCCATTGTCTTCCCAAATTTCCATTGACTGTAAATCGTTCGTAGCAGTTCGTAATGGCAATTGTGACCGAGGCCTTGGGCTGAACAAGCAATTGAATGTACATTTAATGAATAATTCATATATTTCTTTTTCTCCTCACAGATTTCATTCCTAAGTTAGTGAACGGGTATCAGAGTCCCAACATGGCTGAAGCTCACGCGGCCGTTGCGTTTCAGTTCACTGTCACACCAGACGGCATTGATCTCAATGTCAATCATGAAGTCCTCAAAGCAATCTTTGACAGCGGCAAACGATCATGGGGCGACAAGTTCAGGAGATTCCAGGTAAGGCTATAAAACTGATAAAAATACTGTCATCAGGTAGAAGCAAAAATTAAGTTATATAACAACTCTTAAAAATCCTCTAATGAAAATACATTAGACAAATATTCTACAGGTGTATTACCATACATATACTTTTGGGGTCACTTTGTTTCCATGGTTACACATGGTATTTTACACCAAATTGCCCCATGGGACAATGTGCAAGTGGTAGTTGGATAAACACAGTTGAAAACAAAATCATCTACTCTTGCTCCTTTTGCAAAAGAAAGATAAATAATATTGAATATAAAGCAGCTTTTCCATTACGAAAAAATGCTCAATGCGCTGGAGAAGTACATGAACAATATATTAATGGGAAACAGAGTATGCTACTTAAAATATATTTTGCTGTGTCTTATCCTTCTCTCTCTCTTTCTCTCTCTCTCCTTACCCTGTCCCCTCTTTCATACTTACCCCTCTCGTCTTCATCTCTCTCTCTCTCTCTCTCTCTAGAACCATATGGTCACAACGACCTACCCAGCTAGTCCTGCTAGTTGGTTAGCTGTCTTGGTAGCTATCGTAGCCTGTATCTTGGCTAAAATGGACCCATCTCTAGGAGTGATTGATTTCATCAAAGATCACTTCTTACCAGTGTAAGTTCTCTTGAGTTGAATTGATTTGGGTCATTATAAAGTCTTTGGGTTTTTCCTTAAAGGGATCCGGTAACTTTGTCTTAGATCCTTTAAAAAAATCTTTGATTTAGCTCATGCTACAATGATAATTATAAACCTTTAGGTCAGTCAGGAACTCCATGACTTTTACAAGCCAATCGACTGTCATCATTATCAAATCGAAATCAAATGTTGCGTTTGCCAAACGGTTTTCATAACACTACAGTCTATTGGGGAAAATGAGTATGGTAAAACCAGTCTTTCAAAGGCTTTTACTTTTTTGAGGCACTTCTTGATCATTTTGAAGTGCAATTTTAACACCATATCACAGACACTGATAACACGTTGGGCCGTGCATCTCAGATTTAACATTGTTAAACGATCCTTTTAAGAGCCATTTCTTGTGCTTTCCAGAGCCCTGTGGCACAAAACATACCATTGATGGTAACTCTGCCATCAATGGTAACTACCATGGAAACCTTGATTTTGATTGGCTGTTGAGCCCTGTTACCATGGTACTTTCCATTGATGGCAAAGTTACCATCAATGGTAAGTTTTATGCAACGGGCCCAGATCTCTCTTTCTGAGCACTGAAAAGCCCAAACCACTTTTTTTCTTTTGTGCGTCCTTCTTATGTTTTGGTACCCTCATCACTAGTTAACTCATCACAATTCCCAAATGATCACTGACGTACTTAATCACCATGATTCTCTTCTGCATCTCTTCCTTGCTACTTGTTTTCTTACTATATTTATTATATCTAATTCGATAGGAAGCTGTCCAGACAAAACCTTTTCTTGTTTTTTTTTTTTTTTGTACAGCTTTGTCTTATTCTGTTTTGTATTAAATCATTTCACATGTATATGTTATCCTAATTTATGTATTATATTTTACATGAAATTGGGTGTTTTTGCTTTGTAAAAATGTTTTTAAAGATGGAATTCAATAAACTGAACTGAACTCTTCCATACAGGAGCCTGCTGGGTGAGATGGTAACCGCATCCCTATCGGTCCTCATCTTTGTGACCCTTCTCTGGCTGTTCATCATCTACATGCTACGATACACACTCAAGATGATCCTCTCTTACAGAGGATTCATGTATGAGACTCATGGCAAAGTGTCTTGGCAAACTAAACTGTGGCTGGTAGGTCTGATCTTGTATTAAAACACACTATACACTCAAGATGATCCTCTCTTACAGAGGCTTCATGTATGAGACTCATGGCAAAGTGTCTTGGCAAACTAAACTATGGCTGGTAGGTCTGATCTTGTATTAAAACACACTATACACTCAAGATGATCCTCTCCTACAGAGGATTCATGTATGAGACTCATGGCAAAGTGTCTTGGCAAACTAAACTGTGGCTGGTAGGTCTGATCTTGTATTGAAACACACTATACACTCAAGATGATCCTCTCTTACAGAGGATTCATGTATGAGACTCATGGCAAAGTGTCTTGGCAAACTAAACTATGGCTGGTAGGTCTAATCTTGTATTAAAACAATTAACTGAACATAACCAACAATGAACATGAACACACTATACACTCAAGCTACTGCTCTCTAACAGAGGCTTCATGTATGAGACTCATGGCAAAGTGTCTTGGCAAACTAAACTATGGCTGGTAGGTCTGATCTTGTATTAAAACAATTAATTGAATGTTAAGCAAAAATGAACATGAACACACTATACACTCAAGCTGATCCTCTCTTACAGAGGCTTCATGTATGAGACTCATGGCAAAGTGTCTTGGCAAACTAAACTGTGGCTGGTAGGTCTGATCTTGTATTAAAACAACTAACTGAATGTAACCAACAATGAACATGAACACACTATACACTCAAGCTGATCCTCTCTTACAGAGGCTTCATGTATGAGACTCATGGCAAAGTGTCTTGGCAAACTAAACTGTGGCTGGTAGGTCTAATCTTGTATTAAAACAATTAACTGAATGTAACCAACAATGAACATGAACACACTATACACTCAAGCTGATCCTCTCTTACAGAGGCTTCATGTATGAGACTCATGGCAAAGTGTCTTGGCAAACTAAACTGTGGCTGGTAGGTCTAATCTTGTATTAAAACAATTAACTGAATGTAACCAACAATGAACATGAACACACTATACACTCAAGCTGATCCTCTCTTACAGAGGCTTCATGTATGAGACTCATGGCAAAGTGTCTTGGCAAACTAAACTGTGGCTGGTAGGTCTAATCTTGTATTAAAACAATTAACTGAATGTAACCAACAATGAACATGAACACACTATACACTCAAGATGATCTTCTCCTACAGAGGATTCATGTATGAGACTCATGGCAAAGTGTCTTGGCAAACTAAACTATGGTTGGTAGGTCTGATCTTGTATTAAACGATTAACTGAACGTTAATCAATTATCAGTGTCAACACCCTACATACTCTTACTACGTACAGTAGGTTCTAGCAAACTAAACCATGGTTGGTAGGTCTAATCTTCCATTAAACGATTAACTGAACGTTAATCAATTATCAGTGTCAACACCCTACATACTCTTACTACGTACAGTAGGTTCTAGCAAACTAAACCATGGTTGGTAGGTCTAATCTTCCATTAAATGATTAACTGAACGTTAATCAATTATCAGTGTCAACACCCTACATACTCTTACTACGTACAGTAGGTTCTAGCCAACTAAACCATGGTTGGTAGGTCTAATCTTCCATTAAACGATTAACTGAACGTTAATCAATTATCAGTGTCAACACCCTACATACTCTTACTACGTACAGTAGGTTCTAGCCAACTAAACCATGGTTGGTAGGTCTAATCATGCATTAAAAGGATTAACTGAACATTAAGCAACCATCAATGTAAACACCCTATACACTGAAATGAGAGAGGTTTCATGTATAAGACACAGGGCAAAAGTTTTACTGAACGCAATCCAACTATCGATGTAAACACAGTAAACACTGCAGTTACTCCAATCCTACAGAGATTGATGTACAAGATACAAGGCCGTTCGTCTTGCAAAGGTTGATGAGTCAATCAGGCCTACTTCCGGCCTTATTTTAAAATGTTTACCGCACTAAAAGTTTGTCGTCCAGGAGGTAAATCTAGGGACCAATTAGAGGCCTAATTGGGATATTAAGTTCCGATGGTGAAATAGCCCTGAACCTGCATAAAGATTTATAATTGAGTTGACTCACCTAACCAGCCACCTATTCTCAGAGTATTCATTGCAAGTTTTGTATTTACTACAAAATTAAATACTTGGGCCACTAAAAAAAAGATACCGGGCCTACAATTTGAATTCACAACATTGATGTAATTTGAAACAAATTGAAATGGGAGGCGATTGCTGAATTGTTAAATCATTTACAAAGACAATACAGGATACAGTATACTATCTGTTTGGAGCGAGAAGGGTGTTAACTCATAAACTGTAACATAGAGTTAACACCCTTCTGGCTCTCAACAGATGCTATATAAGATAAACATGCACAATAAATATATACACAAGAAGCCTTGTAAGAATTCATGTGTGTGAGTGGTGTCATAATGCACCTGATACTGAGGCAGCAAATATTAACATTGTAGAAATATTGAATTTTGGAAGTTGAGTATTAAAGCGATGTGCTCCAAGTCACAACCTGAACTTGTTTTGTTTCTTCCCCATACAGATAAGTCTGAGGGTGTTCTGTGCAAGGCATCCCAAGCTATACAGCTACCAGGCCTCTCTACCAAATCTGCCGCTACCAAAGCTCAAAGAAACTATGGAAAGGGTAAGTAAGACAAGGCATGCCAACAATTGATGACTCTTAGAACCCAGTTTTAGAAAATGGATGAATGATTAATCTCACATTAGTTTGGTCCAGGTATTCTTTGCTGTAAAATGGTTACTCCTCCACCCACCCACGTGGAATGGTGAGACATTGATTCAGTCTTGATAAAAAGCACATGTATGCTCTGCACACAGAAGTTGGTATTAACATGTGGCATGAATGTTTGGTCCAAATACCTCAACCATTTCTCAATATATTTTGAATTTCAGGAATTTGAAGCACAATACTTTGAGGGAATATTTCTACTGTGATATTCTTCCCTACTGAAATAAAAAGATTGCGAAAGCTCACACGTTACTTGTCACCATTTCAAGAAATGGAGCTTCTGTTTGATACCCATACTATTTGACCTTGTTTGTACCTGACAGTACCTGAGATCAGTCAAAGGCTTCCTAAGCCCTGAAGACTACGGTGAAATGGAACGTCTTGCTGAAGAGTTTCAATCTTCTATCGGTGATCGCCTCCAGCGCTACCTACAGCTCAAATGGCTCTGGTCTACAAACTACGTCAGTGACTGGTGGGAAGAATATGTGTACCTGAGGGGCCGCTCTCCAATCATGGTCAACAGCAACTATTATGGAATGGTATGTAGACTTCATTATCTGGGCGTAGGATATCATATGGTGGCAGCACCAATAAAGCCTTTGGCTTTCCTAACTGTCTCCGCAATGATATGACATTTTTGTTGTTGTTGTATTCTGCTGTGAATGTTTCTCTTTAACTTGTACGCTATGTTTTGTATTTTATATGTTTTTTATGATGTTTTTATGATAAATGAAATAAAGATCAATTCAATTTGATATTGACTCACAAGGTGTTTACTATGACACTGTGGTTTCTTTGATAGGGGTACTGTAAGCATCATAGTGAAGTTTTGTTTGGTCTCTTTGTAATTTGACAAATGATGTTTTCATGTGACAGTTTTACACCTCTATTTTTATTCTAATGGTGTCCAATAAATATTTCTAGTTTTCTATTCTTTTATAAAGGATGATATCTTAATAATGCTGCCCTAATGTGTAAACTTGAGTGGATGTAATATGACCTCCATGTAGCAAGAACAACTATTGCATTGACATATCCTACATTACCTACTGCAATAAGTGTTCCTCTAAGTCCTCCTGTTCAATTTACAAATCATTTCAAGATCTATCATTTGGTGGAATAGGAGTAGTAGTACGGATAGACTCTTTTGGATAACTTATTTTAGTAAGGCTAAGCTGCCACAAGCTCCTCATACTGTTAACGTCACAGTTGCTCTTCTGAAATTTAGACAAGACAAGTTCAGATTGTCACTGTTCCTCTTTAAAGGAACCTGTCATCACAGTCACACCAACAAGACTGACTTCAGCCAGACAACAGATCAAATGAAATATGACTGATGTACAATACCCTCTTCCAATCTTTTTACAGGACGGTATCGCTATCAAGCCCACCTGCTTCCAAGCTGCCCGTGCTGCTAACGTCACAGTAGCTCTGTTACAGTTCAGAGAGGAGATTGATCATGAAGTGGTGAAACCCATCATGGTCCAGAAGGCTGTACCTCTGTGCTCTCAGCAGTATGAAAGAGCTTTCAATACGACCAGAATCCCTGGCTTAGAGACGGATAGGTAAGATTGATGGATGGATTGAGGATAGATAGATAAATTGATGGATGTATCCAGGTCTCTGTCTTTTAAACAGTTGCGATTAATTATAACTTATTTGTGATTGTTATCAAACACAACTATTTACATATGAGATAGGGGACTGCAAACTTGCTATTGATTGGAGGACTTGGATTCAGATCAATTGCAACTCTTTATAAGATGGGGTCCTGGTTGCCTACAGTTTGCTACAAGTACACACATTATAATATTGAAGGTTTAAGTTGGAAATTGTTTAAATTAGCATGTTAATATATCTTGTTTTAGAGTGTAATATTAAAGGTGTTTGTGTTGAAACCTTACAGACTGATCCATCACGCAACCAGCAACCACATTGTCGTCATGTCTAAAGGACGCTATTACAAGCTTATCATCCAGTCAAATGGAAGCCTTATCAAGCCGTGTGAACTAGAGAAGTAAGTATCCTCAGCATCAATAAACTAAACAAATTATCTTCGGTTGTGCCAATTATAATCCATGTGTAGTTACGGTTACTTAAAATCCAATCCAATCCAATCCAGGAATTTATAAAGCGCCAATATCTAGTTGCCTAATCAAAGGCGCTGATGAGACTGTAAAACTACCAAAAATGTCTGTTCATGATTCTAACTGGGAAAGACAAAAAAGCAGTGACTAATTGTAAGCAATCTAAAATAGATATGTCTTTAGTTGAGTTCTGAAAGTGGATAACAGGTGACAAGGGCGAAGGTTAATAGGTACCATTATTGCCATTGCATGCATCATACAATCAGCTATGCATAATCTTTATTCACATATAATTGATTAATGATTGTGTGGAGTACAAGGAGAGTCAAGTTTTACAGCACTATACATGTAGAAGAATTCACAATAATAGATATTATTAATCAAAAAATTGAATATACTTCATGTTATTCTCCTTTGATTTTTGTAATGTAGCGAGTGCATTTTTGATGATGCACACTATAGAAGCATAGTGTTTTATTATTATTATTATTATTATTATTATATTATCAAATAATGGTGGAATTCAATTAATTTTTTAGGCAATATCAGGAGATTTTGGATGACCCAGAGGAGCATCATGCTGAGCGTCGTCTAGCCGCACTCACTGCAGGAGATAGGTACATATACAAATCATTTAAAGCCACACTGTCCTACTTGTAGCTACTTGCTCCCTCTATATAGGAAACAATGCCTAATCGGTGACCATTGATCCCCCATGATCCTCTTTTTCTTATGAGAGCTGAGTTTATGAGATAACCACCTGTCCAATGACCTTGCAGAGCAGTCTAATCGCTCGTATAAACTAGTACAGATAAGTTTTAATTTTTCTGATTTATGCTGATCAAAAGAACCTGAATGTCAATTCTGAAATGATATTTCTGAACTAGGAAAATATCCAGTAACATGTACATCACCAATATTACTTTATCTAAAAAAAAGAACACCTATAACTTTGTCTGATTTTATGATCTGCTCTATCCCCTTGAATGATGTAATCTCTTTAATGAATTTGCAGAAAAAAAAGTATTTGTTGACAGAAGAATAAGTGTCTGTCTATCATTGAAACTTCTCGAAAACCTGGATTTGAGCGAGCTAATTAAAGATTAAGTTGAGTACCGGTCATGCGATTGCATTGTGAAAAAAACGGTGTGGAATCGATCAGAAAAGGTTGATCATCTAGCATATAAGTATTGATGTGTACTGCAAGGTTCTGGAATCATCAAAATGATAAGAAATGTGGCCCAGTCTTGGTAAAGTTACAAGCACTATACACAGAAAGATGTATATGGGACTACTCAAATGGTGCCTGGGTTACTTACCTTGATTTCCTTATTTTTCTATGCTCATTACTCAGCCAGTATACATTTTTTCCCAAAATTGTTTGGCAAATGACATTTATATGTACCGGTAATCTTGAACATTCAGTGTAAGTTTCGTTTGATTCTGTGAGAATTCATTTCCATTTTTTTACCAGAACTCAAGTTTATCTTTAAACAGCAGCAACATAACAATACCTGCCAACCAAGTCAGTTTGGCTCCAATAAACATCGACAATAGACTTTTATAAGACTGGACACTTACCGGTATTAAAGCACTAGCCTTACCACATCAAATATTGAGATAAACATTGAATTGACCTATGTACCCTTCTACTAAACAGTTCAGCAGATGCTTCTGCATTTTGTGACCAATTCTAATCCCAGAAAGGTGATTGAAATGTCAGTCAATAATTCCATGTTATGTAAACAAATTGTGAAGATGACTTTTATATTATCTATCTTTATTACACATTAGTATTTTTCATTATCAGATACAGATAATGATATCGAAGGTCCTCACGTTAATGGCAGATCAAATACAATAAAAGGGTTGGGAAGAGGTCTATGAATAAAGTTTTACTTTAAAGCATTCATGACTGCCTGACTCATTTTATGAAGCCACTGAGCATCACTGAGATGTATAAAATGATATGCAAGGTAGAAAAGATGAAGGGTAATAGGAGGTTCTGAATTATTTATGATGGTCAGATCTCAGTAAGAAAATAAAATAAATAATAGCCAGTCAAGTAATTTTGTGGAATTTTCCCCTTACATCTAGACTAATTTTCTTGTGCATACAGTTGTTTCTGGTTTCTCAGAATATAACAACAACAATAATTAAACAAAAACATTAAAAGGGAAAGAAAAAGAAAACGAACAAAAAACAAACAAAAAAACATTCAAGATGAAGAAATCAAAACACTAGTTGTGAGTACTACCGGTAATATATACCCCTTTCTCACTTGTCTAAATTAGAATCCCATGGGCCGCAGCTCGTCAACGCTTCTTCATGGATGGTGTGAACAAGACCTCTCTTGCTGCCATAGAAACAGCTGCCTTTGTGGTTGTCCTTGATGAGGAGGTGCACGAGTATGATATCGTAAGTCCCCCAAACTCCAATAAAGTACCGAAGCTGTGACATCATAAAAATCTATTCTTAGAATTTCTCAATTTTTTCTTCATTTTCCGAAAGAGCATAACAAATAATGTCCAAATGTCGAAAACCAGTTAAAAAGGTTAAGTATTGGCTGAGGTATGACCATCTGAATAAAAAGATTTCCTATAGGAACTCAGTGTTATATTGCTCTCTCTCTCTCTTTTGGACATTATTTTTCATGCTCTTTCAGAAAAAATTGAGAAATTCTAAAAATATATTTTTGATGATGTCACACTTCACCACTCTATATCATTTCTCCCGTGTGTTCTGTGTGTTTGATTAAATCATTTTGCTTTATGTCTCATTCACTTATGACACAGGAGACTATGGTGGCTAACTATGCAAGGTTTTTTTTTTTTTTTTCTTTTTTTTTCTAACATGTAAATGAGTGGTAAGTGGACAATAAAATGGGTTGCTGTTTGTTATGCATTATAAAACATGTTGAGCTATTACACTGTCATATATGATCGAGCCTTTATTGGTATATTAATCTCTCTTTCTGGTGATATTGAGGAGAGATTTTGGAGTTAAGTAAAATGAGTTGCAGTGGAATTGAAATGAGGGAAATTCACATTTATTTATTGGTCCACTTGTGAAAGTATTTCTTAGTTAATAAAGCTTCTTGTCACTTGGCACATGTAAATTTAAAGTTGCTTTCATATAATCAGGCTTCTTGATACATTCAAATATAAGTGAAAAGGCATTCATCTTCCACACATTCAGTGGCTGTTATTGCTTTCAACAACAATTTTATATTATGTCATGCAATATGTCACTTTCTAGCTTGAGGGAATTGATGAAATTGGATACATATGTGAACTTCACTCCCCCGGCCCATGGTAACAAGGGTCTTCATACGTGTACATATGTGAACTTCACTCCCCCGGCCCATGGTAACAAGGGTCTTCATACGTGTACATATGTGAACTTCACTCCCCCGGCCCATGGTAACAAGGGTCTTCATACGTGTACATATGTGAACTTCACTCCCCCGGCCCATGGTAACAAGGGTCTTCATACGTGTACATATGTGAACTTCACTCCCCCGGCCCATGGTAACAAGGGTCTTCATACGTGTACATGCAAGCAAGCGTGAATAGGTGTATTCTTGATATACATGTACATTGGGTGATAAGCTTTATGCTCTAGCCTTTGTATAAAGTAAAAGCCAAAAGGTAACATTTTGGTCTAGGAGTTTGTTCCTTTTCACAGTAATGACTGCTGTGGATTTCATTAAAACCAGAAACTCTGCGTGACTTTAAATGTCGCAGATTGCCAATGATGGCTGTGACAAGAAACTTGCTGACAGAAAAAGTTGTTGTAATGACATGAATGAATACTGGTACTTAGTTTCATGTCCTGCAACTTTTGAGAGTCTGGTGCCCTAATAAAGTTTCTTGCAGAAGTTTCTGGATTTAATTCCCTAGTTTTCGTAATACTACTCCATTTTTACTCTGTTTTTTTGTTGGTTGAAGGACAATAACAAAGTACTAATTTTGAGAGGGTAATTATAATTTTATTACCAAGGGGTAACATTTTAAAATCTATTTATCTCCAATATTTTAACCACCTTGTGCATATGATATTTACCTGAGTTCTTTTATAAGCTATTTACCTTCATTACTCCTGTAATCTCTATAAACTAGATTTTAACCATTGACTTGTTTCTCTAATCCGATATTTGTTTGCTTTACACATCTCTCTGATTTTACACTCACTCCACCTCTTATATATATATATATATTTCTGATAGGTTTGCCTCATTTCATTCTCTCTCACCATTGCTTCCGTCATACCTGTATGATCTATGTATTCATGACTCATTGCTTTAGGAACCACTAAGAGAGTTTCTCAAGAACCAGGAGATACCTTCATGGGTCAAGGGAGATCCTTTCGCACAGAAGGTAATTTAATCATTCAAAATCATCTTTATTTTGTTTTTATGATCTAAAGATGGAACAATAAAAACCCATCTCCTCTGCCAATAGATCAAAATCATGATTTTTTTTCTGCTGGCATGAGGCAGGGTGACAAAATGTTTTTTTTTTTTTTTTTTTTTTTTGCATGGTAATTGTATATTTAAGATTTTAATCATATTTTACATACATGATATATATTGTTAATCTAACAGCTTTTTTATCAGATAAGACTGAAATATCCCCCTTTCCTAAAGACCAGGCATCCTAAGCTTTATATAAAACCATGTGGAGCAATGTGTGCAGTGCTTTGTAACTGCAATGAAAAGGTGCTACATATCAATACCTTTTAGATTGAGAAGGAAAAGAGAAAAGTAACACAATTATGTGAGCAAGATTTGATAGAGAATGTCATTCATAATACACTTTTTAAAATGTTTTTAGTTACAGAGTTACAGAGAGTACATGTTAACTTTGAATGTGTAAATTGAAACCAATATCCTGAATAGTTAAGATGTGCTTCAGAGAAATGGTGATAAAGAGAAACTAAATAGTCAAAAATTCTCCTTAAAAAAATAGTAAAAAAGATTACGTAAGAAGAGCTATGTTGCTTACAAAGTGGAATAAAGGGAAAAGAAGAGAGTTTGAGAGAGAGAGAGAGAGAGAGAGAGAGAAAGAAGGGGGGGGGGAGGGGCACGGTAACATTCTATTATATAAAATCCAGAGCTACATTGCTTCATATAAACCATTGCTTACCTGAGATGAATGCATGATGTTCACATATTTTCTTCTCATTTGCCCGTCTGCAATCTTCAACCAATCATGAATGTAAGTCCCTCGACATGAGCTTTGGCAAAATATACATGATTATTATTGGTTAGAAATAGAGCGTCATTAGTTTAGATGTACATATAGCTTGTAGCTTGTTTGGTGTTTTAATGTGACATGATGTTTATTATTATGTTCAAAATATGCTCAGCTACCTTTGTAGAAATCATGAAGCTATCAGTATATCCATGGTAGTAGTCCGTAGCTTGTTCATTTCATTGTACAGATAGTGATTTATTCCATGTAGTAGAGCTAGGGCCCGTCGCATAAAACTTAGCAATGATGGTAAATTTGCCATCAATATTAACTACCATGGCAACATCACTCAAAAGCCAATCAAATCAAGGTTTCCATTGAAGTTACCATTACTGGCAAAGTTACCATCAATAGTAAGTTTTATTCAACAGGCCCAGCAGTGACTTGTTATAACTTTTGTTTATAAGTGGCCCAAACATTGTTGAGCGGTGCGTGCAGCGCTTTGTAACCGCAAGGAAAAGGCGCGATATCAAATATCTTTTGGATTGGATAAACTAAAATGGGTGTATGATACATTCCTCTATTATATAATAATTAGTATGTTGCATGTTATGTGTCATGAAACCCTGGAAAGTGATTTCATACTTTATTGGCATACATGGTATGTTTTGAAGATAGTAAGCATCCTAGTACATGTATGTGGTCCATGTAATAACACAATGTAGTAGTCTGTATGCACATTGTGCTTTTCATGTGTAGTTTGTAAGTTTAATTTATAAATTAGATTTATAAATAGGGAGAAGATTCTGCAAGATAATTTAGAAAACTACCGGTACTGGAAACGACAAAAAGCTTTTGTATCATTAATTTTTGATAATAATGTTAGATGAGTTTATGAACTGCAGCTGAATTACCATGGGTTAAATACCGGTAAGCAACATTTGTCATGTTTTCTCATCTAGCAATAACCCTTAAAGTTTTGTGACTAACACTCTAAAATTTGATCCTTTTATGCCTTGCATTTCAAGTATTCCCTATCTCCAGCTTAGGCGTACCTCAAATTAACACATAACTCATAATGGCAAGTGATAACCTGTATTTGTGATTCCTGCAAGTGTTGTAATGTGTTGTAGTGCAAGCTATGTTTGTTACAAGCTTTGTCATATATATGCTATGGCTTTGTCAAATACATGTAGCTGTGTTTAGTAGTTATGTGAAACTTGTATATTTTCTACATTGTATATTGCTTTTATTTTCTACCTTGGTAAATTTGTTGTTTCATTTGTAGATTTCTGTACTCTATTGTTTTATAGAATCACTGTAATCTATTTGAAATCTCACAATCCTTCTAGTTGTACACTACAGTATGTGTTTTACATACATGTTTTACATGCATGCATATATGCACTAATCAATCATGACCACTATGAGAGACACCACACCACAATATCCTCGTTTAGTTGCTGAAAAGGCTTTTGACGAGTACCAGCATAGACGTAGACAGTACAGACAGTAAATCCCAGTATTGATGTTCACTGTAAAATTCTCTAAAATTTGGACAATGATTGAAAATATTCAAACCTTATCTGGGGTTATTTTGATAGCCATAGCTCTGTAGTCATAGTCATAGTAAGTAAAAATGCCAGGGAAAGGCTCTATACATAGTTTACACCGATCACCATAATCTATTCTATTTATGTAGATATTTTGGCTCAATTGATAAAATAAAACATGCTGCGGGAAGGTAATCATGAAATAAAGAATTGAATTTAAGTATTTGAGGTGCATCTTTTATTTTGATAAACTATTGCATCCTTACATGTGTATTGAGTTGATATTTGACCTTTGACACGACCTATTGACCTTTGCAGGATCAGGGTGATGGAAAGTTGGACAAGTATGCAGCCTCCCTTCTCCATGGTAACTGCTACAATCGTTGGTTTGATAAGTGTTTCAATCTCGTTGTCTTCAAGAACGGACACATCGGACTCAATGCTGAGCACTCACTGTAAGTTCAGCATTACTCAACAGAAAACATGCGGGAATAAGATTGATTTTAACCCCCCCCCCCCCCCCCCCCCCCCCCCCCCAAAAAAAAAAAAAAAAAAAAAAAATGTTGTTGTTACAATCATTCTGATGTAGCATTGCATTGTTAAGGTTAGAAATCTCCCTTTTATGGTACTGGTACTCAATACTCACAAGAGACTACTCCAGATTAGGGTTACAGTTAGGGTTAGGGTGTACATGTATAAATTTGAATGATTTTGCAGTGAGACTCATTGACTTGATTGTAAATTGATATTGGCATTTGATATTGGATCTAATGATGGGGGTTATACATGTACCTGTAATATAGACTATACATGCATATATGTAGGTAATGATGATGATTGATTGTTTGTTTGTTTATAGGGCTGATGCTCCAATCTACAGTCATACATTATGTTTGTCTATGCTTGTTTGTTTGTGTGTTTATAGGGCTGATGCTCCAATCTACAGTCATACATTATGTTTGTCTATGCTTGTTTGTTTGTGTGTTTATAGGGCTGATGCTCCAATCTACAGTCATACATTATGTTTGTCTATGCTTGTTTGTTTGTGTGTTTATAGGGCTGATGCTCCAATCTACAGTCATACATTATGTTTGTCTATGCTTGTTTGTTTGTGTGTTTATAGGGCTGATGCTCCAATCTACAATCATACATTATGTTTGTCTATGCTTGTTTGTTTGTGTGTTTATAGGGCTGATGCTCCAATCTACAATCATACATTATGTTTGTCTATGCTTGTTTGTTTGTGTGTTTATAGGGCTGATGCTCCAATCTACAGTCATACATTATGTTTGTCTATGCTTGTTTGTTTGTGTGTTTATAGGGCTGATGCTCCAATCTACAGTCATACATTATGTTTGTCTATGCTTGTTTGTTTGTGTGTTTATAGGGCTGATGCTCCAATCTACAGTCATACATTATGTTTGTCTATGCTTGTTTGTTTGTGTGTTTATAGGGCTGATGCTCCAATCTACAGTCATACATTATGTTTGTCTATGCTTGTTTGTTTGTGTGTTTATAGGGCTGATGCTCCAATCTACAGTCATACATTATGTTTGTCTATGCTTGTTTGTTTGTGTGTTTATAGGGCTGATGCTCCAATCTACAGTCATACATTATGTTTGTCTATGATTGTTTGTTTGTGTGTTTATAGGGCTGATGCTCCAATCTACAATCATACATTATGTTTGTCTATGCTTGTTTGTTTGTGTGTTTATAGGGCTGATGCTCCAATCTACAGTCATACATTATGTTTGTCTATGCTTGTTTGTTTGTTTGTTTGTAGGGCTGATGCTCCAATCTACAGTCATACCTTATGTTTGTCTATGCTTGTTTGTTTGTTTGTTTGTAGGGCTGATGCTCCAATCTACAGTCATACCTTATGTTTGTCTATGCTTGTTTGTTTGTTTGTTTATAGGGCTGATGCTCCAATCTACAGTCATACATTATGTTTGTCTATGCTTGTTTGTTTGTGTGTTTATAGGGCTGATGCTCCAATCTACAGTCATACATTATGTTTGTCTATGCTTGTTTGTTTGTTTGTTTGTAGGGCTGATGCTCCAATCTACAGTCATACATTATGTTTGTCTATGCTTGTTTGTTTGTGTGTTTATAGGGCTGATGCTCCAATCTACAGTCATACATTATGTTTGTCTATGCTTGTTTGTTTGTGTGTTTATAGGGCTGATGCTCCAATCTACAATCATACATTATGTTTGTCTATGCTTGTTTGTTTGTGTGTTTATAGGGCTGATGCTCCAATCTACAGTCATACATTATGTTTGTCTATGCTTGTTTGTTTGTGTGTTTATAGGGCTGATGCTCCAATCTACAATCATACATTATGTTTGTCTATGCTTGTTTGTTTGTGTGTTTATAGGGCTGATGCTCCAATCTACAATCATACATTATGTTTGTCTATGCTTGTTTGTTTGTGTGTTTATAGGGCTGATGCTCCAATCTACAGTCATACATTATGTTTGTCTATGCTTGTTTGTTTGTGTGTTTATAGGGCTGATGCTCCAATCTACAGTCATACATTATGTTTGTCTATGCTTGTTTGTTTGTGTGTTTATAGGGCTGATGCTCCAATCTACAGTCATACCTTTGAGGATGCTGTGGTCGAGGACATGCTACACATGGGATACACACCAGAGGGACACACGAATGGAGAATCAACCAGGGTGCTGAAAGCCCCCCAAAGACTACAATGGGAGATTCCAAGTGAGGTAGGGTTGTGTAGCAGATGGACTAGTCTATTGAGTATTTAGGGGAGGAATCTTTCTCATCTTCAAGAATAAAGGAAGAGCATGGTTCAAAAAGAAGTTTTTTGACTCTTCTTTATGAACTACAAACAGATAATCAAAAGTAATTTATTTTACTATGTAGTTCTTGAAAATTATTTAGATGTTTTGAAAATTGAGTTGAAATATGCTGAAATGTCAATATCACGTAATATTTTATGTTTTGTAACACAAGAATGCTGTCAAATAGAGAGCTTGATGAAGAGTTCATAACATCTTTGGTCCAGGAGCCATATTGGAAGAATCTTTCATTTGTATTTCTCATTTCAGTTGGAAGACATCATTGAGACGAGCTACCAGGTAGCTCAGAAGCTTGTAGATGATGTTCAGATACATGTCAGAGTTCATAATAAGTTTGGTAAGGGTGCTATGAAGAAGTGTAGGATCAGTCCAGATGGTTTCATTCAACTTGCAATGCAACTTGCCTACTACAGGGTGAGTCTCTCCTTCTAGAGTTTCTCTTTATAATAATAATAATGCATAGTATTTGTATGGCGCCAAATCCACTTGACAATCAAATGCTCAAGGCGCAGCTTGTGCAAAGATGAAATACATGATAAATATATACAAAAGTGCAATAGGAAAGGTAATGGTAATCAATTAAAAGCTAAATTAAACAGATATTTCTTTAGATTTGTTTTTAACACTTCACCAGAACTGCTATTTATTTAGTTCTTTGGTTCATTACTATATACAAATGAATAAACATTGCATAGACACCTGTGCCCCTATTTCTATATGTTTATTTTGAAAATATTTATATGATCAAAGAGTAATCAGCTCACATGCTTGTTCACTGGACTTTACTGAGGCAACTTAAATGAGTACACTCATGACAGGGAAAAAATTAATATTTATTTTTCGGGGGCTACTTTTCAAGCTTGCCTGCATGAAATTAACACTCTAAAATTTGTTTTGCATTGAACTCTATGCAAATTTACAGGGGCTCTTTTCTGATTTTCGGGGGCTCTTTTGGGCATTTCGAGGGCTAATTCGCCCCGAGCCCCCGTGTATTTTTTTCACTGACTCATGAGCAGTCCATCTCATATGACACTGATCATATAAGAATTCTAAAAATTATTATATAGTGCCTTTACCTGTAACAAGAAACTGATCTAAGTGTGAAGTTATATTAACCAGTCAGTGGATTCAGTTATGATTCTGCACATTACAATGCAGACTCTTCTGTTATATTCTTACGTTTAAAAAAACACAATATAACATTTTTTTAAAAATCTTTAAAAATGTTTAGAAGTGCTCAAACACTTCCATGCACTTTGTACACTTTTATCCATCATGCCTTTTTTCATATTGTTTTGATTAATATCCTCTGATTGTCCTCAGGATGCCAACCGTTTCTGTCTGACCTATGAGTCATCCATGACCCGTCTATACCGTGAGGGTCGTACAGAGACCGTCAGGTCATGCTCGGTCGAGTCATGTGACTTTGTACGCACCATGGAAGACCCAGACAGCACGGTAAGTTATTATCAATAAAAGCGGGATGACTGAAATTGCATTAGACCAAATTACATAATCTAACATATATACATTTATTGGTAATTTTTCAAATGTTGCTCTAGATATTTCTGCAGCTTGCCAGATGTTTGCTTGATGAAGCAACAAATTGTGTACACAGTGTGGATTTGAACAAATCAAAGTGCATCACCAGAGGTACTTTGAAAGAACTCAATTATAATTCGGTCTAAATAATGAAAGTAAAGAAATACTACTGACACATACGTGAACACGCTGGGGGTACATTTATTAATACAGTACCTTTGAGTAGGAGGGTTTCTATTAGTTCTCTTTGATGATTGAATTGTCTTCTTTCTATTGTGTGTTCCACTGTGTAGAAGGAGGAGAAGCTGGCCAAGTTTAACCTCGCTGCTGTCAAACATGTCCAGAGCTATAGAGATGCTATGTGCGGCAAGGGAGTAGACAGACATATCTTCTGTCTCTACGTCGTCTCCAAGTACCTCAACCTGGATTCACCATTCCTCAAGAAGGTATGATACACAAGATTGAGAGAGAGAGCGAGAGAGAGAGAGAGAAAGAGAGAAAGGGAAAGAGAGAGGGAGGGAGAGGGAGAGAGAGGGAGAGGGAGGGAGGGAGAGGGAGAGGGAGGGAGAGGGAGGGAGAGGGAGGGAGAGAGAGAGAGAGGGAGGGAGGGACAGAGGGGGAGAGGGAGGGAGAGAGAGAGGGGGAGAGAGGGCAAGGGAGTAGACAGACATATCTTCTGTCTCTACGTTGTCTCCAAGTACCTTAACCTGGATTCACCATTCCTTAAGAAGGTATGATACATAAGATTTAGAATAATGATTTTAGATTTGTAGAGGACCAAGAATTCAAATTTGAGATTTCAGTTTTTGATCTAGATTTAGAAATTGATTTCCAGTGGTGTTGCAAGTGTATAAACATTTTGGACACATGGTATGGTGTGTTGAGAGCATGAAGGAAAAGATGAAAAAAGAGGGAGAGGGTGAAAGAGGGAAAGAGGGGTAGAAAGAAAGAGATAGAGATAGAGAGAGAAAGGGGGAGGGAGAGAGAGAAAGAGGGGGAGAGAGGGGGAGAGAAAAGGAGGGAGAGAGAGAGAGACAAGGTTGTGCATACAATTAAGGACATGTGCCCTTGACAAGGATTTGAACCTGTAACCTGCTGATTAAAAATCAATTTTAATGAGATAAAGCCATCATGTTTTCATTGGTTGTCCTAGATAGTTTCATACTGTTTTGAAAGAAATAGTTTTTTCAGTGTATCTAGCTGAAATTTCAAAATTGTTTCAAAGTTATAGTTTCTTCCTGTAACTGGTTACAGGGTACATAATCACAAGGCCTTAATGGACTAGATTATCTCTATTTATCTTTAATCTGCAGGTTTTGAGTGAGCCATGGCGTCTGTCCACTAGTCAAACACCGCCCTCACAGACGGGTAAAGTCAACGTCAATAAGAATCCAGAATGCCTCTCAGCTGGAGGAGGATTCGGACCGGTATGTATGCGTCACCAAAAGACATTAAAATTGTGCTGTGAAATTTGACATTTAAAGCCACACTGTCCTAATTGTAGCTACTTGCACGCTCTATATTAGAAAACTATGCCTAATCGGTGACCATTGGTCCCCCATGATCCTCTTTTTCTTATGTTAATTGAGAGCTGATTTGATGAGATAACCACCTGTCCAGTGATCTTGCAGGGTGGTCTAATCCCTCCTATAAACTAGTACAGATAAGCTTTAAAACAGGAAAGTGTGTCTGCTATCTAAATTTGTAAATGTCTCGGTCAAAATGATAAAATGAAATGTCAACTATTTATTGGAATGTTGTTGTTAACTTGTTAATATTCTACATGTCATTGACTTAACCCTTACTGTACTGGGCTATTTTGAGCACCCACTGACTGGGGGGGGGCCTGGGAGGCCCCCCCCCTATGATCTCGGCCGTCGATTGTCCAATGAACACGAAAATTTGCACGTTTGTAGATATTTACGTAAGGAACAAGATGGTATAATTAGTTTTTTCCGAATATGCAAATTTTTGTCGTTAGCCTAATTAATTATGCAAAAATGCTAATTTTATGCATTTTACAGAAAACGTTTCAAACTCCACTTTTTGAATGTTGAAACTCATTATTCATATGAAACTTCTTTTTTAACTCAAAAAAGTTAATTTAATGTAATTAATAATGATAATTTATGCAAATTTTGATGCAATTTTTTTTTTTTTTTTTTTTTTTTTGATGACATGCGCATACTAATTGTTATGTAACGCCTTACAGGTATATCCGATTTCGACGAAAATGGTATCAAAATGTGCGTGAGACTTGAGGGAAAAAAGTCATGAAACGACAATTCAAAATTCCAAGCGGTTGCGGCGCAAACTCCGAAAATGTCGAGGGGGGGGCCTCCCAGGCCCCCCCCCCAGTACAGTAAGGGTTAATAGACATGCAAGGTCATCTGGATCCTTTTCGCAAACAATGAGATATTGAAATAAACTTGCAATTCGTTCAGGTACTCTAAGCATAGGTATACAGATTTCTACTAAGGCCTCAAACTCTTGATACCATTAATACTGATATTGGTTATGTTTAATGTAACAGGTTGCTGATGATGGTTACGGAGTATCTTACATCATCGCTGGAGAGAATCTTATCTTCTTCCATATATCATGCAAGAACAAGACTGGCAACACGGTAAGAATGAATTGTATTTCACAAATTTTGAGTATTCTGCAAGATGGTATAAGTTTAAGCGCCATGAGCACCGAAAGGTGGACCTGTGCGCTATACAAGTAGTCACTATTATTATTAGTATTTCACAAATGAGTATTGTCTCTAATACATACGTTTTCAGTATGATTTGAAAGTACAAACAGTGTATACTCTGAGTAGTTGATGGTCTTGTAATAGTTCTCTCAATGTTGAATTGATGAAGATTGTCAAATGGAACCCTTAACAAACTACTAACCGCTAAACAATTTGACTTTAATCAACATTTGTAGGAAACTGTAGATTAAATTTGAGATTATTACAGATGAGGGTGTTTTTGAGCATAACGATCTCTGCACATCTGAAACACACAGAAACAAACACTCAACACAGGGGCGGATCTAGGAATTTCTTCGCAGGGGGGCACACGGGAGGGCACACGGGGGGTAAGAGGACATGAATATATATATATATATATATATATATTTTTTTTTTTTTTGGTTCCCCCCAAAAATCGCAACGACTCAGCCAGCCGCTGAATAGGCGGGTGGGGGGGGGGGGGGGGCATGTCCCTGTTTGCTAGTACATATTTGGCAAATTTGGGGCTGATTTCAACATTATTTTGGGGGGCCGGGGGGCACATGCAACAGTGTCAGATTAAGAAAAATCACTCCATTTAATCATTGTTCAAACTCCCCATGCATATTAAACAAATAGAAGATTCATGAATATTCATAACCCCATGTATATAATTACAAATAGTAGATTCATGAATATTCATAACCCCATGTATATAATTACAAATAGTAGATTCATGAATATTCATTATATTATGCACAAGATTTATAAGTACAACTGATGTATCCTTCAGTCATGAAAGATACATGTTTTACATAAAATCAAAATATTCTTATTCTTATTCTTATTATATCTTCCCATGCAGAATGCTATTCGCTTTGGAGACAACATCGAGCAAGCTTTGGCTGATATCTTAGCTCTCTTTGATAAGGATAACTAACTTCATTCCCTCCCTAATCAAGCCAGCAAACATTGTATTATTCTGCATTCATCAAGAAAAGAACCATCTTAGGAATAATCTGAGTTCAATTATATGTTACCAACATAGGTATAATCAAGACCAGCACAAATCGTATTATTCATGAAATAATCATTTTAGGCATAATCTCGACACCTTTACTTGAATTTGAAATAACCCAGTAGTAAATATACAGGTGCATTCAACCATGACCATATGAACATGGACCTCAACATTTCAATTTAGAATAAATTACGTTTCCGTAACCATAATAAGAGGTACTAATACATTATATTATCTCTTGATTTTAATTGTGTAAATAAATAAACAATGCCCATGCCATAAAAGCCGGCATGGATTGATTTGATGAGGTTTGAAATTAAAGACACAACATAATAACACAACTTTTTATTAGAAGGTAATTAAAATGTATTGCAAAGTATTCCGCAAGATGGTATTAAGTTCTGTTTCATTGAAGTTTTGATGTTATATAATAACACGTTCAGTGAATGTACTATATTGGTAGGCTTTATGTTAATGCTACACATTATTTGATTGGCATTGAGTAATACCAAGTCTTTGATAAGGCAGTGCAAGCTATTCATTGAGGATAAGATATATTTGTTTAAAACATTCTGAAATAAGAAGAAAACTAACTTGTATATGAAGTTAAGAGATCATGAAAGATATTCAAATAATAATAGTCTAGTTTTCCAGTGAATTGCTTTCTACTTTCTACTTTCTAGAGACATGTAACATACAGTAGTTAAATTATCTGTAGAATTTATTTTTGATAGGAATATAATTTATTGGGAATCGTTAGGTGTAGTTAGAATGTGAATTTTGAATAATATTCAGCCAATTTTGGCTCAAATTCAACCTTGATGTAGGCAATGCCAGCAATAATTATGGTAGAATATATTGGGGAAAAATCTGAGTAAATTTATGTGAGATGAACATAAGTCACCTTAATGATGATTGGTTAGTGGACTTTTATTCTTTTATTTATTGTATACTTGGATACACACAAGTGTATTTATATGTGTCTGTTTACCAAGAATTTTTTTAAAGTTCAAACTAGGGGATTATTGCTAATTTTCACATTAAACATATAACTGGTGGCCAGGCACAATGTCAATCAGTATTTCCAAGCATTCAAATATTGAAAGACAGGTGAGATAGTAAAATTGGAAAACGATCAGCTTGGAAAAAAATAGAAAATGCAAATGTGTAGCATTAGGGAAGAGAAGAAACATTTGAAACAATCAACTTCAATTATGATACATGTTATATTTTGTGTGTGATTGTTGTATTATTATAATCTTCTCATAGTCCAACTACCATGTACATAGCCGATGGTAAGATTGATGCGTTATTACATGTCGGTTGTATGTCAGATATTCATAGGCAGGTATGTGAGGCCGTAAGCAAGGCGGGTGTTCTACTTTTCTATATATTTGTTTGATGTGTCTTATAAGTTATATTTATTGGATATTATGTATTGCCAGCTGTATATATTCTTTACAGAGTTTTTTTTGTTTTGTTTCCAAGGAGATTTTTAAACACATATCACTGTTGCATGTCATTACTATAGTGATCATAACACTGAGTAATAATTTCAACTGTTGGGCATAGGAAAATGTATATTTTCTAAATGTTATTTAGTTTTTTAAAGATGAGGCAAAGTTTCTGTGGTAAGATCACTAGATGTGCTATTTCCCACTGTAATCTCTTCATTAAGTTTGTATCAAGAGCCTGTTATATATTACACTAAATTTTACCTTCTTGCTTTTGGGCAATTCTGCTGAGTTCACATAGATATGAAATATATATATATTACCCTATTGTGTTAGAAATATCCTACCTATGCTGCATATTATTTATTCCTACCTTTCTCTCAGTAAACTTACTTCTCTGCACATACATGTGTAGACCTACAAATCACTGTTCACACACAGTGACAAGAAAAATGTTCAATTGCCCATAACATAAATATTTGTTGAAATTCAAGACAAGGATAAAAAAAACATGTTGAATCACTTTCCTTTAGATTGTAGTCTTGCCATGATACTTGGTATTTTGCTCTGTTTTTGGAGTACAGTCAAACCTGCTTTAGTGACCACCTGTCTACAAAGGCCACATTTGTTGTTTCCCTTGAAAATGATTTCTCATTGAAACATGTACTAAAGGAACCTGTTTACAAAGACCACCTGTCTATAAAAACCAATTTTTGTGTTTCCCTTGGGCGGTCACTATAGACAGGTTTGACTGTATTCTAGATAGCTTCTCTATTTGCTGTAACCCTTACCTCATAGTTCCTTTGCCCTTGTATCATATTGTACAGCACACAGACTGTCAGGGTATCTAGGGTGAAACCAACTACACTCATGTGCTATAGAACCTAGGTATCATAAGAATGTTAATACCACAAGAAACACATTGTTATAAGCTATCAAGTAAAGTGTTATATGAAAACGTGTTATAATGATGCTCCACTGAAGAGGTTTGAACACAAGAGAAGATACTGTATAAATAAGTTCAAGTTCAAGTTTCAAGTTTTATTGTTCCACATTTTACAAAAAATATAGACATACATATAAAATAAAAAATTACACAATACATGTAGTATAAATGGGCATGTCTCAATGATTCTCAATTCATATAATAGATGTAGTAAAATGAGGAACCAAGCAGTGCTTGTATATTATAGGTTTGATGTGATCGCCAGTGATCGTGTGTTCAGTTAAGATGGACCAAGAAAGGGATCTTCACCCACTTGTGTTATCATTCTACACTTGGGTTTATAGAGAAGATATTTTTTATAGAGCAATTGTATGGCACATATTTTTCATGTCTGTGTGCTTGTATCATGTTTGCTCAGGTCCTGGTTGAGCAGTTAAGACTCATCATTTGTTTCCCAAGGTTTAAGGTTCAATACCCAACCAGGATTCAGCTAAGGTACCCATCAATGCTTAATTGTTTAATACAACTCTACCAGGAAGAAGGGACAGACATGATGTGATGAAATGACAAACAAATAATTCTTCAATTGAATTTCAAAATGTAAGAGAAACTGTTTCAATGAAATGCAGTTTACATTGAGAATTGGTTTGAGAATCAGAAAATTCTTGCCAAATAGTTAGTCATATGACATTAGCTTAAATCCTTAACCCTATTTTAACTGGGCTATTTCAGACCAGGTTTTTACTGGGGGGGGGTCAATTTGACCCCCCCCTAAGATCTCGGCCGTTTCACCGTCGATCGCCGCGAAAATTTGCGCGCATGTCAATTGAAGTGTATAGAATACTATGGTAATTTCAATTTTGTGAAAAATTCACTAATTTGCATATTTATGGTAATTTATGCAAGTAAAGTCATAAAAATCACATTTTTACCCATAAATCATATATTATTCATATTTAAGCATTCTTTTTCACTACATATATTCATAAGACCATTATGAATAATAATACGACAACAAAATTTGGAAGAGCCAGCTTATTCCTTATGTTATCCCTTGTTTTGATAATTTCTTATGTATTTCTTTGTTTTTTTAACTTATGTATTTCATTGTTTTTGTTGTTTTATTTCATTTCTTACTACAATTCAACTATAATGACTCCCAAAACAACCACCTAAACTTTAAACAAGACCCAATAACCCATGTTTGATCTGTTTTTAGGAAAAATGACTTTTACATATGTTTTGTACACAAATCACGAAAATGAGCGATTTTCGGGCTGACATGCAAAGACAAAAGGTCATGTGACCTTGTAACCGTAGGTCCGATTTTCGAAAAAATCGTCTTAAAAGATGCGTAAGACTCGAAAGTAAAAAGTCATGAAAGGAAAATTTTATATCTGCCGCGGTTTCGGAGTAGTCGCGAAATTTCTACAGGGGGGGGGTCAAATTGACCCCCCCCCAGTTAACATAGGGTTAATTACCACAACAGGGCTGTCATATTTACTAATAGAATTTTCTTTTCTTCTCTCATTCATTCATTTTTTTTTTTTTTTGGGGGGGGGGGGATTAATTTATTTCCCTTTGGGCTATCATGGTGCTTTGCTATTTTTTTTTATCCCACTTGCCAAGAGTAGTCATTAACATATTGGAAGATTAAGAATATAACCAGAAAATTTGATTTTGTGTTTCGATAATGTGCCATGAATTATTCTAAGAATTTACAACAATTTGAAGACAGTTTATTATCTGCATGAAGGCTATGATGTTATCGATTGGCATTAGGCGGCCTGAGCTTAATTTTATAACTACAGAAATTGTTATGAAATACAATAAAAGAAACATTAATTTTAAAGATTTCCCTTAAGATGTAGAGATATGTACATCCATACTATCATTCCGTTGAACGATTGTAATAATGCTATTTGCAGATGGGTCGTTATTGACTGTATACATACTGCATGTAGGATTTCATGATTGACTAGCGCAGACTCTGATGTGCCACACGAGAGTGATATTGCACAAAGTAATGAGAATTTAACAATGTTAACACATTATAGAATTAGTGTTGCATGCATTGATCACATTCATGATTTTGATTGGTGCAGGTTATAATGCAATCAAAATGAGGCCTCTTGTTCAAGGGGCTCATTCATATGAATAGATAGTTAGATTCCATTCAAAATTGTACAATAGTCTTTTTTTTGTAAATAGAGAAACAAAATTCTTCATCAAAATTTTTCATAAGATCTTCCCAGATGATGCAAAGTCTTTTTATATTTTATAAAATTATTATTGTACTTGATTTGATTGCAATTATGTATATAGAATGTAATTATGAATTAACTGTGATGATTTTACTGCACCTGTAATACGCTTAGGATCTTAGAATTAAAGAATCATATATGTCTTGTATTCTGTATTCTAGCCCAGAAGAAACCCCATAATGAGCAGTGCTTGTGTCATCACTGTAATTATATTGTGTTTTCTCTTGATTTCAGTTACATAAGCACAATCACCTAATTATGTTTGTTCACTTCATCAAAGTTTGTAAAACCACCTCAAACCTTTGATATTTAGTTGAAATAATAGATATAGAGTTTTCCATAAATTTGGTACAATATATCAAATCAGCTATTGGTGTTTGCATGATGTGGTACACCGCATTTTATATACCAGTAGCTCTTTATTTTGATTTAGGTTTTGTTTAACTTGAAGTTCCAGGATTATGGGAGTGCATAATATAGTGGGAGTTTCATATATCATTTATGGGTGTTTTGTTGCTGTATTTGAAATGTGAATATGGGAAGTGCAGTGTGTATCTTATTGGATAACTTAGTTGATATGAACTAGATGTTTAATCATACATCATTGTATCTTTGTGCAAATTATTCATTTGTTTGAAAATAAGATAGTGAAAATGTTAATAAACTTTTATGAGACAGTGATTTTGCAAATTTCACGCCGTTGAATTATTTCTAGTCTGACTCCAAACTACGATGTATCACTCAATACACTAGCTCTGTAGGTATTCAATCAATACATGATTACATTTCCATGCTTGTGGTTTTGTTTTTCAATTGATATGATCAATCTTGATATGGATCATCTCGTTTGATACAGTAAGAATGATGAGCTCTATTTTTAGAGGATGAAGGTCGATGTCTTGATGTGACTTGAACATGCTTGTAAACGCACACCTGAAACAAACACATTTTTTTTCCGAGGCGTTTTATATCACACATTTCACATTTCTTATATATTTACATCAATTTACATTTCAACATAATAAAAAAAAGACAGAAGTATTTAAATAAATAGTTATAACCTTAACATTTCTTGAAAAATTTCGTTGTGTTTCGTCAATAGGTAATATCGTAGTTTTAATTTGAAATTAATGAACAGACTTTTACCATTGTACTCTTTTCCATCACACCGAAGTTTAATATACCTTTAATATGTATATTATGTATTGTCCTAAAATTAACATGAAGTTTATCACAAAGTTTTCCTTTTTTAAAAATAAAATAACCTATAACTAATGCTTTTTCATTAATATTTATTTGTTCATGAAAGTAATTATAATATAAGTTTTCAATAATTTTCCTAAAAACTCTAACCTTGTTACAGTTTAACAAGACATGAAAAGTATTTTCTGTTTCTTTACATATATCACACTGGTCATTTTCCATTATACGCCAGCTGCATATATTATGGTTGAGAATCACAAACACATGGGCCCTTGGTAAATCTTACAATCAATAATTGCCTTAAAATAAAAAGTGAAGAGGAGATGAAATTAGAAATAAATTGCTGGATTTGAAGTACATAATAATAACCGCATGAATTGTGAAGTATTAAAGTGCTTATCAGTTGTGACCTCCTTAACGTTGCAGTCACTTTAATCACAGCACTTGAAATTAAATCTTGAATCACTTGCCTGGCAATATGTCAACAATAATATAAATGATTCATTTATAATTCTCGAGCAAATGAGTCTGAACTAAATGTCTCTAATCCCTCCACTCTCTCTCTCTGTCTCTTTCTGCCTCACCCCCTTCTCTCTCTCTCTATCTCTCTCTCTCTCTTTCTCTCCCCTCTCTATCTATGTCTGTCTCTCTCTTTCTCTCTCTCTCTCTCTCTTCCTCGCGCGCGCTCCCTTTCTGTCTCCCCCTCTATCTCTTCCTCTCCCATCTGTCTGACTGTCTCTCTCTCTTTCTCTCTCTCTGTCCACCCTAAACTCTTTCTCTGTCTTTTCTGTTCATGTCCCTCCAAGTGTATTTCTTCAAATTTATCTTGACCTGCTTTATTTATCTTATTTTTATACTTCCCATCCCTCTTTCCCTCCCCATCTCATTTAAATTCCTTGCCGCAATTTCATATAACCTACCAGGGGCGTACGCAGGGGGGGGGGGGGGGGGGGGGGGGGGGGGGGGGGGGGGGGGGGGGGGGGGGGGGGGGGGGGGGGGGTTTGGGGGTTCAAACCCCCCCTTTGGTATTTTTATGTATGTAAACCCCCCTAAAAAAAACTAAACCCCCCCTCCCCCACTAAGCGACTTTTCGGCCG